CCTTCGATTGGCTCCCCATCGTCGCTCATCTCATTGAGCAAGAATACGTGAGATTGGGGAAAGAACTGCACCCGAAATCACACTGAATGTCTGCGCATAGCTCTGGACCGCTGGCTGCCCAGGTAGCTCGAATGAGCTTTTTGAGACGATGCATTATGTGCTATGGCAGATCTGATCTGTCTTTCCCACCTGCTCGAGCTGGAATCGGAACATGCGAAGCGAATCCAGGACAACGCGGCTCCTACGACCAGCTCCCCAATCTCCGAACACAGGTTCCTTGCTCCCCGTCGTTTTTCCAATGAACATCATCTGTGTAGATGTTTCGCATCTCTTTGTCAAGCGCCGCATCCGCTTGCGGTCAAGCATGCTGCAACTGCTCGCATCGCGATGCAAAACGTGAGACAGTTGGCTGGGGTCGCTACTGAGCCTGGCAGTCCTGGGGCGAGATAGCTACATCTGATGATCTGCTGATCAATCAAGCACGGATTCAGTGCTCGATCCCTAGATCGATGATGGTCTTCCTTTGAACGGCCGCGCAAATTCGGACAGAGCAGTGAGACCTCTTACCGAGGCATTCCTGCTTTTGTTTCATGTTTGCGCGGCGGAGCTACTGCGCTGCCCCGCCCCCCTGACTGCTTGGGAGCTAGTGTGGTGGTACATTCAGGACTCAAATTACACACCTCATGTACGTTGCTACCCACTCTTGACTACTCAAAGTATCGGTGAAAGCAGCCAAAGACTGTCACTGAGAGAGGCTCCGTGGGTGAGGGCTATTTCTGCAGACGAATTGACAATCTGACACCCACTAATTCCAAGTTGCAGGGTATGGAGCCGATTGAGCAAGGAGCGCAAAGAGTTGCCTTTCAGGCACTCTCGCTGCTGTCTCGCAGCACTGCTGAAGGTTCGCAGAAGGGCGACCCCCGTCCATGGAACGGCATGCAAGCATTGCGAGTGCTTGCCATTCAGTGGTTGAGCGTTCTGTGCATTTCGATCACATCCAACTTTCACGCCAGCATGGAGAAGGATTGGCTATGTTGACGTGCGCACAAACCGAGCTCTGTGTAGCGCTGTCCGTCAGCTGCGACAGATTCAGACTGACTTGTGATTCATGATTGTTGGCCAGATCAAGACTCGTCCCTCGTGATGGTGACGACCCCTGCTTGATCGCGACCATCACAATAACAAGACATGCATTTTCGATTCCGATTCACCACTCGTAATTAAAGGTCTTAATTAGCGAAAATCCGGAACAGCCTGAGACCATAAGGCCGAAAGTAGATCGTGTTTGATACCTCTTTGACTGCATCCGGAGATTTCCAGTCCCATATTGTTTCGCCGCTCAAGTGCCTATATGCATGCTGACTAGGCGCAACATGCGTGATGTCAAGTCGACGCGCGAGAGTCGTCTGAGACAAGCAGCACGTCTCACTTGATTGTTGCCCTGTTTCGCATCACTTTCGCGGTAATTATACACATGCTGCTGTATATGAGCCCAGCCAGCAAAGTCTATCGAAAAGAGCAAGCTGAGCCCACCCGAAGGCACAGTCAAAGTCGCTGCCTCGAGCCTCCGCCAACCAATTTGGCATCCCTTGCGAGAGATATATATCCGCGCGGCGTCTTTTATGTAATTGTGAATCCAGACTCCAACTCGCCAGGGTGGTTGGTGTCTGTTGGCGCGTAGATCTCTACTTGCTCGCTCGCCTTGCCGAATCTCTTGTTGCGCGCTGCCGCGGTCCCCACCCTGTTCGCGCAAGCCTCGCACTCCGAATCTCCGCACTTTTGCTCTGCTCCGCCTAGCGCGGGAAAAGTGCCCTTGCCGCGGCTCATTCACTGATTTACTGGCAATTGCCAAACCATGGTCGTTCCTGCTGCTGGTGTCGACGTGTCACGACCAGTGTGACTGTTCTAAGTTCAGTATACTGTAAAGCTTTTGTGAAATGTTTGGTGCTGCTCGGCGCATGGTGACGCATCACCCGCCGCACACAACCCAAGTCTCCTGGCTGCGATAGTCGACTCCTCGCTTGAAGTTGTTGCCGACGGGTGTGTTGACGCAGCGCCGGTCGCTCGTTTGCATGAGTACGTTTTCGGTGGGCGCTTGCATGGCGTCACAAGTTCGTCAGACGCACTGCGGTCACCTTGGAAGACTCGGGTGATGAAAAGCACTTTCTTCTGGATGCAGAGCGGCCCGAAATGAAGAAGGCCGTGAGAGCGTGACAGGCACAACCGCACGCTGCATCCTCATCAGTGGTGGTCACAATTCAAATTGTCGGTGTGTTTGCTAACGGTGGTGCCTTCCGTGTAGTGCAACAGAGCACAGAGCGACAGATGAGTGCTCGTCTAGTCTCACGCTAGCGCTATTGGATGCCCGATCAATTTAGCCGGTTGCAGCCTCGCCCTGTTACACTCAGACGAGCGCCCAAAATCCTCTGTGCAAAATTGACCAGTCATCGATCACCTCCCTGGCTCGCCCGCATGCGTACACGCGGCCAGCACTCTTGTATCAGACTTACGCTTCTCAACGGCCGTCGCGACTCAGCGAGACATATTGACGTGCAATTCGAGTAGACCTCGGGCCAATCGTGCTTGAGTGGTCTCTCTGCGCGATCTCTCAGGATGCTCGACCCTCGGTGACTCGTCTGGCTTTTGGGTGCGACAATGGTGAATGGCAGGCGGCAGCGCTGCCAAATATCTAGCGCCGGGCAATGCTCATTCAGATTGCGACTGGTTTGAGAGTAGTTCGAACGCACCGCCAGGCACTGTCGACGCCTCGCAACGACTCGACCAGAGTGAAATTTTTGAAGCGTTCTCACCAGTGCCCTCTCCCTGACCTGTACACATCCTACGCTTTGAACATCCTCTGGCGTGAACCGTACACTTCTGTCCTCGCTCGACCATACTTTGACTACTCCACTCACGACATTCACTTCCTTCAGTCAAGAGTCTGCCGTGCCGACTGATGACATTGAAGTCGCACGCCACTCACTTACTCACTCTCAATCGAGCTTCACGCCACCTTGCCCCAGGCTTGTTGGCCGCCTTCCGCCCACGGCGCGCGTTCCTCGCAGGTCGAAAGCCACCGGGCTCTCGCCTTGGCGATCCTTTTTGATCCCACTCATCGCTTCCACCGCTTCTGCGCCAGAAGAGGGTCTCGCGAACCATCTGTGCGATCGATCGCATACCACTTGGTTTCCTCGATACGGATCGAGCGTCTTATAACCTCCCCCAATTCCCTTGTCGGTGAGATTCTCAATCGCTACGACGAAGCCCCACCACTCGCAAATCAGCGAACCCGCGCCAGACGAGAATTGGACTCCGACTGTTTGGCAGCTCTTGCATACCAAACATTTCGCAGTCTTCGGTTGTCTTACAACTCAGAGAAACGATAGCAGCTTCGAACGGTGTGGCTGATTCGCGTGGGAGATACACTGTGAGTGGCATACGTTAAGCTGATGAGAGGTGCACGCAAGATCGCGACTTAGGAGAGGGCGCAAGCCTCAGAGGACCTTACCGCTGCGATCGGCAAGGGGCGCAAGACAGACATGTGCCCGTAAGGGTTTCGCTGCTCGAGCTACATGTACATGTTTCCCGGTACTCGAGACCTCGCCGCACTGCAAGAGCAAGCCACAGCATCCTTGCTGGGTCTGTCCATCGAGTCCCTGTTGCGTCCCACGCTCCGTGCATCTTGCGTCCAGACGCGTTTCTCGCGTTTCGTGCCTCCTTCCCTGCAGGGCGGGCAGTCCTTCACTGCAGCCGAGCAAAGCGACCGAGCTCTTGCTGCTGCTGCGAACGGTCTCTTGCTTTTTCTCACAGGCCACTGCAAGTCACACTGCAAGTCACAGTGCTCAGACAAATTTTTCTTCTCCCCTATCGTGCAGGGCCCAGCAAACGCGGCGAGTTGACAGCCTCGCCACGATCACGCTGACCGCCATCCACTGGTCAAGGTGTTGCTCTCCGGTCGATTTCCATCAAGTGATCGATCCGTTACTTTCTACTTCAGGTGCCACCCAATTGGTCGAGCTGGCAAATTTTCCGTTGGCGTTTCCCATTCGAACTCCGACCTGCACGTCAAGTCTCTCCACCGGCTTGTGACGGCTCGAAGACTTTGAGCATCCTTGCATAGCAGCCCTTTTCTTACCCCTTACGATCGTCGATACCCTTCCGCCTAAGCGTGGTCAAGCCGGTGCTCGGAGCTGGATAGCGCAATCGTCTGTCTGGCTGACACGTCCCGCACCGCACACTACTGCGCTTTTCCTAGTCCAGCGGGGCGAGCGGGCCAGGCTGCGAAAGTTGCTGACCATTGATTGGCCGCTTCGTCGCCAGGAGTATCACTTTACGACGCTTCTCACGCGTGGCGCTATCGACTCCTTGCGGGCAACGGTCACTTAACGACGCCCACAAAGACGTACTCTGCGCGGCTCAGCGCCCGCGATCCGACTCAAAGTGAGGTGCTTTCGGCACGTTCGGCACTTTTTTGTGCAGGACAAAAGCCCGCTCGTCGTTCATACCAAACGCATCGGCCCGCAGCTTGGTGACTACGGTGAGTGTGGCTGTTTCAATCATGGTCTCCGCAAGAATCGACGAAGGATGTTGATAAAACTGGGGGAAGCAGAGACGCTGTGGAAACCAAGTATGTGTGAGGACTTGGGTGCGAGAGAAGTAGCAGGAGGCGAAGCTCTTCCTTTACTTCTACCACTCTTTCACATCCTGTCCGCCTCGGGTCGCGCTACTTCTTGCAGAAACTTGTGCTCCTTGCTCAGTCATATTGCTTTGTCGCATATACAAGCGCCGATTACTAACTTTCCCACCTTCGTCCTCCCTCGAATCTTGCCCGTCATTGTGGCTGACGCATCGCCATGGAATGGATTCACACTCGCTGCGAATGCGCACGTCCACAACTTGACTCTGCGCTGCACGATCTGCACCATTTCTCACACCCATTCCTTGGCGCTACCTCAATAATCACCGCCCCCAATTCGCTGTCTGTGCCTACGTCTAACGCGGCGACACCAGGTCTGTCCCGATCGTCTAGCTCAAGTAGTGCTTTCAGCGACGCGAGCGACTTCTACTTTGGCGCTGCGGCACCGAGCGGCACCGAGGAAGCAGACAGGAACAAGGATCCGACCGACCTTGACCTTGTCTCGGCCCGGATCGCCCTCCTTGGCGTCTCGCCTTCGACGCGCAGCAGCAAGCCGCTTCTAGCGAGTCTCCACAGTCGTCGTCAGCGGAGACAGTCATTTTTTCGAGTTCTGAGCGTCTTGCAGGCGTCCACAGTTCTCGACGCCGACGTAGACGTGAGTCACCGCAGCGGCGCACGTGAACATCAGACTTCATCTATGGGCACCTTAGCCGCCAATATGAGCTCTGCTGTTCCCGAGACCAGTCTGCCAACGCCCGAGAATCCTGGACGGCTAGCGTCTGCCGCCACCATCGTAGCGCCATTTCAAAAGCAGATCAGCGACGCCAACGCAGCTCGACTCGACACTGGCAAGCGGAAGGCAAAGCTTGTCGGTATCCTGGCGACTCCCAGTGGACCCAGTGTTGCGTACGCGGAATGGACCAAGAAAGCATGCGAAGCCGTGGGTATCGAGTTCGAAATTTGGAAGACATGGGACGACTCAGAAGCCCCGATCAATGGTGACGATGAGCCCGTGAATGGGGGCACCCCGGAGCAATCCGCCGACGTAGAGCTCGAAGGAGACGTCGAGGACCTCATCATAGCGGCAAATGCGGACGCAAAGGTGCACGGAATCATGATATACTACCCAATCTTTGGCGGACGACAGGACACCTACTTGCAACAGATTGTCGATCCTCGAAAGGACGTCGAGGGCTTGCATTTCTCGTACTGTTGGAACATGTACCACAACGTTCGCTGGATCTCTCCGAAGCAACTTGGCGGTGCTCCAGGCACGGTCACAGAGCCGCGAGGCGGCAACTTGTCGCCCACCATGCGCAGACTTTCGCTCTCGTCACCTGACGGCGCTTCGGCCGAAGAAGCTGTGCCGAAAGGCTTCGCAAAGTCGATTCTCCCCTGCACACCTCTGGCGATCGTCAAGTGCCTTGAAGCTCTCGGTGTGTACGACACCTCGCTGCCTTACGGGGACCGCCTATACGGTAAGACTATCACGGTCGTAAATCGTAGCGAAGTCGTTGGCCGACCCCTGGCAGCTTTGTTGAGCAACGATGGCGCCAAGGTCTACAGCGTGGACATCGGCTCTGTGCAAGAATTCAACAAACGAGGCGGAGCCATTGCACGAGCTGAAACGCTTTCAGGGGGTGACGAAACATCACAAGCTGGGCGGAAGCGATCATCTGTGGTCCTCGAAGCCAGAGCTGCCAACTCTTCCCGGCGCCTTCGACCCCACCACATCGTCAGACCCTGCTCCCTGGACCTGGAAGCTTGCGTAGGCGCTTCGAACGTCATCATCAGCGGCGTCCCTTCTGCCAATTTCAAGATCCCAACTGCTTGGGTTCCGCGCGGCGCAACGACGGTAAACTTCAGTAGCGAAAAGAATTTCGAGAAAGACGTGCGCACGCGCGCTGCTCTTCACTTGCCCGCTGTCGGCAAGATGACGATTGCGATGCTGCAGCGAAACCTTTTGAGGCTCGTAGAATATCGTGAGCTCACTGACGCCGATCTGTCTGGTCACGGCCCCTCCGACGACGGCAATGGCGGTTCCGGACCTGGCCAGAATGGTGGGCCATCTTCCAATGATCACAGACCGCGCTACGGAGGACCGCCGCCGCCACCTGCGAGTCGACCGCGAGGGCCGCCCAACCATGAGGGTCAAGACGGCAAGCCTCCAGGAGGACCAATGGACATGGGCTCGATGCTCGCTCCAGAGAATCGTTCGCAGAATCGTAGCTCTTTCACGACCACAGGTGCCCGCGAGACCACATACAGCAATGCTTCAGAACCCAGCTTGCGCGGTGCGCCGAGTAGGCACGACTCCGCTCTTGGGCCTCTCATCAGGCCCAACTTGGGCTCGAGAGGCAGAGCCAGCACGCTCTCTGTCCCGCGGCCATCGGCGCTGCACCATATGGCTGGAGGTGGGTCCCTGCAAAGCCCGACTTATCCGCCCTCGCAGCTCGCAAGCAGTGACGGTACGCCCAGCACAACTTCGACATCGCTGTGGGACTGGCGTCGCGGACGTCGAGACAGTGTAGCGTCAGGCACAACGACGTACTCTTTGGAGGGTTCAACTCAATCCGGAACATTTACCGCCCGCACTTCTCCGCTACTTTTCGCGCCTGTCGGCCTACCAAAGCGATCTGGTACACATACACAGGCTCAACAGCGCAACAGCCTCTCTTTTGCGCACCATTCATCAGCATCGAGACCACAGACACCATTGTCACCTCTGCTCATGGAAGAGCTAGCTGTGGATGACTCGCCCCGCTTCCACGAGTCTCGTGGCTCGGCTCACATGCATCCGGCCTATTCAGGCTGGCATCAGCGAGAAGAGGCACAGGGCAGTGCACCGAGTAGCGTCCCGGAGCGCCCGCTGAAGAGTCTGCCTGGTCGCAATGCGCGTTCGCAAAGCACCAGTGCAACGTCACCAGGCCATCGACTACTGCATTTCTCTCAAGGCGCTTCGCCGCAGTGGGTCGTGGCGGACGAGCTTCCGCCGCAAAGGAGTGCTATGGGTCACGGTTCGGTGACTGCAGCTTCGCCTTCTCCTCTCAACGCGCAGCAGCCTCTGCCAAACGTCACGGATCGCAGCACCCAGAGTCGACGTCGAAGAAGGCCGCCTTTCAGCTACACATCGTTGTGCGCTCAGGCCATTGCGTCGTCTTCAGACGGCAGAATGACGCTGAGAGAGATCTACACGTGGATCAGCAATCTTTTGCCCGACTTGTATTCGCTCAACGGACCAGAGTATCAAAGCTGGCAAAACACAGTGCGACACAACCTGAGCTTGAGCAACTGTTTCGTCAATGTGCCTAGGACAGCCCAGGACATCTACGACAGCTTGTCCTCTGGCCAGGCGAATCAAAGCCAAGCGGCGCGAGGCAAAGGTGGTTGGTGGACGCTTGACATTCCCGTCGCCCAAGCGCAGCTGGGTCCGGATTATCTGGGCCTGAACAACACGCGAGCAAATGATGCCGAGCAAGTGATTGACGATCCCATGTCGTACGATGCCGCAGGCGATCCTCAGGATGGTGTCTCGCGACCGCCCCAGAGGAGAAGGACGAGTAGCTACATCCCAACAGTGACGACACTAGGTGCCCATTCAAACGATCAGCCCTCGCTTCGCGGCATGCCTATGCCGCATTCTACACAGATGCCTTCCGTGCTGCAACGCGCACCCCAGACACCTACGGAGGTGTTGGATCCTGCATTGCAAGCCGCAATCTTGCAAGACACTCGAACGCGAGCTCAAGATGCTGACCCTGCGGATCCTCGCAAAGCTCACGGCGCACATCAGCAACAGCACAGATACCTGGAGCAGCACTACCTTCACGGTCCGCAAGGACACATCGGTCGTCCACGCGGGCTCACCACTAGCGCCGCAGACGACCGAGTACGTGGTGAACCGCATGTCAGCTTCTATCCTCAAGGCTATGGAAAACGCCCGCCTTATGTGCACTCCAGTGGATCCGTCACGCCGAGTCAGACGAGCCCTTACTATTCAACCAACGCGCTGCCGCCTGTGCATGGTCCGAGTCCCAGCAAGAGGAAGATGACTGTAGACTACGACTACCCGCAGCATCACCATCATCACGCAGCGCCGACGAGTCAAGGCGCGATCATGACGCCTCCATTGCCGCACACGAGGACGGAAGGCATGTTTCGAACCAAGAGTCCGCTCTCACTCCGCGCAGATCTGGGACATGATCACACGCGCGTCGTTACAGAAGATGGAGGCAGACGCATTGCGGAGGAGACGGGCAGAAAGGTGCAGATCAGAGACGCTCCCACGACCAATGCTGCACCAAGGACACTCGGCTCGAGGCCGATGCAAAAGTACGAGGCGGACAGTGGCGCGGCATCGGATCGACAGAGCAGAGCACCTGCGAGCAGACCTGGCTCCCTAACTGCGACTGGCGACAGGCCAATCAACGGCGGCGGTATGTCCATCAAGGACCTTCTCAACCGGTAGTTGGCACTGCACCTTGTATCTTTCTGTTGTCAACATTGAAGCAGCACCCACTTCTTTCGATGGCTCCTTGTGCCCATTCTTCCATTCATTGCTTTTCCCCAAGACCGACCGAAATGTCCCGGTATACCCGCGCGCCGCTCGCTAGAGACAATCGAGACTGATGAAGCTTGCCTTTCTGCATACCTCATCGTGCGCATTTGCGATTTCGCAGCTGAACCCTGCTGCTGCTGGCTTTTAGTGCTTCTCTTCCTATTCGGGCTTGGCAACCTTGTCAGCGTTCGCTTCGTTTGCCGCCTTGGCGCCCAAAATTTTTGCCTGAACATTTCTGATATTTTGCTCGGCCCTCTGAGCGGCGAGCGGAAGTGGTGGGGCAGGAAGGGAAGGGTGGGCTTCAGAGGCTTAAGTGGCGATGGCGAGGACACTCGCACCCTCCACGTGAGACGCTTCCGTGACGCAGCAACTCACGTTTATACCACCGGCTAAAGCTCTCTGATACGCTACCAGGCACTCTTCCAGATTCTCTACGGCTTCTAGCACTGCTGCCATGTTGTAGTGAATCTCTGCATCTTCGGGTGCTAGAGCAGAAGCTTTCCTGTCGAGCGCATTTGCAAGAAGTATTAGTGAAGGAGGAAGGGGGGTGAAGCGAAGCGAAAGGAATATCGGCGCATATTCTGGTGTGTGTCTGCCGGGTCTGGTGGGAATGACGACTCACTTGAGATGATCCAGGGCTAGATCTGGTCTGGCAGGTTTGGAAAGGACGTAGCAGCTGGCTATATTGGTGTGGGCATCTGGCGATTGAGGAGCCAGCTTGAGCACCGCTTCCCAAGACGCTACAGCCCCTTCCAAATCACCTGTGTATGTTGAGAGATGTAGTGAGAGAGAGAGAGAGAGAGAGAGAGAG